TAACAGGGGGGGTTTAGGGGAGGGTATTGAAGAGGGGTTTATGAAGAAGAAAGTATGCTGGGAGCGGGGAAAACATAGGAAAAAAGAGGGGGAATACAGGGTTTGAGGGGAAAAAATTGGGTGGGTAGGAGGGACTGGGTTTTTAAAAATGTTGCCGAAGGGGGGGGAAAAAGGGGAAGCCAAGGGGTATTCCAAGGCGGGTAGCTGGACAGGGAAATGGAGGGATTAACTCAACCGGTGTGGGGCCGGGGGGGTCTTGGGGCCGAGGAGGGTCGAACGCAACAGGTTCCGACCATCCATCAGGTTGGTGACTGACGTGTACGTGTGACAAGAAAGCAGCAGCAGCAGCAGCAACAAAGGCCTGCAATCCGGTAGTATACTCCCGGGCCCGCCCGGCCCACCCACACTCAGACAGGACGCAAGGCGGTGCTTTATCATGTGGTAGCTCGGGAAGCCGGGGATAGCCGTCTATGGTCTGTATGAATGGCTGGCTGATGTTCGGCGATGTAGCGCTCACATACGGGCAGACAATAAAAATGCGCCCATGGCCCTGGCAGGGTCGTGCACGAACTATTCGACACCAGCAAACAGCCTCACCACCATCCCCCCCCCGCAACCACTGCCGTACCCCCACCCCACCTGCACCACGATGGGCCGCCCCGATAGCCTGTTTTTGGTTCGATTTCCACCCAGCTGAGTGTTTACCTGCGGTATGGCGGTGCGAAGAGGAGAGGAGAAATGGGTGGAGGAGGGAAGGAGGAAGGAAGGGGAGGAGGAGAAAGGGGAAGGAGGAAGGGGCGGAGGAGGAAGGGGAGGAGGAGGAGGAGGGGAAGGAGGAAGGGGAACGTACCTTGAACCTAATGGTCTTCCCCGGCTCGGTGGCCACATAGCCCCACTTCCCACGACCTTCATCAGTCCAATTCCAGCCGTCCACAGGTTGCTGGGCTAGAGCCTACATGGCACGAGGCATGACGATTGAAAGGTTGGTGCGACTCAAGTTGGCTTGGTCGGTAGTAGGTAATAGGACTGGGACAATGACACAGGTGGTTGCGGGGGCCCCTATGCTAGGCCGTGCCGGGCTGGATTTGGAATTGGATTTACAGCTGTGAATTTGAATTTGGATTTCCATCTGTTTGACTTAAGAGCTGGAGTCGGTTGGGGGTTCTCCTCCTCGTCGACAAGACCCGCTCTTAGAAGGAGGGGTAGGGGGTTAAAACACACCAGGGAAGTCCCCCCCCGCCCCCAATCGTGTGTGGTTCGTCTTTCCCCCCCGCCCCCCCCGGCCCTCGCGCTTTCTCTCCAACATATAACCAGGCAGGTGGCTGGCAGAAGTTAAGGCCTGACTTCGGCTCCCGGAGTGCCCGGGTTCAAATTCGCCTGCCGACTCCTCGGGTGTTTGAGGGGTGTCGAATTGGGAGGTGGGCCCCCATCTTGTGGACGGTGTAGGACGTGATAATATAAACTTGCGAGCTAACCAGGAACTAAGTTGTGGCGCCGTTGATCCGCTAGATTTGTTTGGATGCTGGTGGTGAGTTGCAATACAATCCAACGAATACATTCTGAAGTCGGATGGGGTGAATGGATTAGGGTGCCCCTCTAGCAGGGGAGAGCAGGGAACTGCCTCCAAGGGACATGTTGCCGCTGGTGAAGCTATACCACCCTGTAACAACATCATATAACCGCCAGGAAACGGCTTCCGCAGTGGTGCAGTCGAAGAGGTGCAGACGCAGCTTCCGGAAAGCTTCCCCCCGCATTCGTACATTCGTAGAAGCACACACGAACACACGAGGCAAGCACACAACACGTATACGGTTGCACACACGCACGCACATACGCGTCTCTTCTGTGTGAGCGCACACGCACACCCACACGCACACCCACACCCACACGAACACGCACCCACAGCTCCTGCTCGATGTGGCACGTGCTCCCGGTGGCCTCGTAGTTGCCTTCCGACAGCGGGGGGGGCAGCGGCCGGGCTGCGACAGCTTCCAGGGCTGCCACCGCTGCCGCTGCTGCTGCTGCCGCTGCTGCTAGATTTGCCGTTGGCGCTGCTGTCACTGCTGCTGTTACGTCGTCGTCGTCGATGGCGGATGTGACCCACGGGTCACACCTGGCGCTGTCGTCGCTGTTACGGTTGGACCGCAGCAAGTCCAGGCACATCGTGATGAGCAGCTCCGTGGCGAGGACATGGCCGCCACGACCCGGGTGGTTGTGACCGCCGTTGAAGATGGCCCCGTACGACACCGCCTCGGCCCCCCCAACCGCCGCTGACGGCATCACAGCCGCCTTCAGACTCACCTGCGGGTGCCGAAATCCACACGGAGGCCAGGCAAGGATCGGCAAGAATGGTGTACGACGGTTGTTCAATGGAACGTACGACAATCAACATTGCGAATAGATAATTTGACCCAGAACATGCAGCTGTGGTAAAATATTCCGTACGATATTTCTTTAACATTGGCAACGAAAGGGACAAACTATCAAGGCGGAATCTTTTTGCTAGCAGCGCACGCCTCTGTGGCTTACAACTGCTGCTGCTCCTGTCACAACAGCCTCCCGCCATCAGCACTCTCACTTCCCCCCTCCCTCCCCAGCCATTCACTCTCTCCCCAGCCATTCACTCTCTCCCCAGCCACTCACTCACCGAGGGCAGGCTGTAGTAGGTCGCGAATTCCATGAAGTCGCGCTCCGCAGTGTGAAGGTAACTGGCGCGGCCGCGGCCCCGGGGATTGGGACGACGGTGGCGGGGGTGGTCGGGAGCCGGGGCCATGTCCAAGGGCGTGCGGGGGGAAGGGGGGGTTCAGGAAAACACACGCTCGCCCATTGCGGGGGTTGGGGGGTTGATATTTTGCACCCGTCTGTGTTGGGAGGGTCTATTTATATGCGTGTGTAGGTGCAGGAGGTGGACGGCGGGCGGGACGGCGGCAACACAGCAATAAATGGTGTGGTTAACCTTGGGTTTTTGACCAGGATTTACATCTTTAAGATGAACTCAGCAGCGGCAAAGCATAGGGAGGGAGAGAGAGGGACAGAAAGAGAGGTAAGAGAAGCGGAGGGTAAAAGCATGCAGTACGAGGAGGACTCAGCAGTACATTAGGATAGTAGAGCAGCACGGCCCGTAAATACGGCATACGTTGAAAAGACGAGGCTGTACAAAAGGCAGCAAAGGGGCTGAAACAAAACGGGCTTTTTCGACAGGCTCACAAAATATAACAGCGGCTGCCCCCTGCACCTACTTACTTGCCGTGCGCGGCGCCGATGGCGTACATGTTGATGAGCAGCACTGCGGGACGAGATGCCAGTCCCAGCAGTTTCCTGATCAGGCGTTCCATGGCCCTCCGATTGGGGTCCTGAGGCCTCGTGAAGCAAGCAGGGGTTGGAAACCCTCTCCACACCTTCTACACCAAAAGACGCCTAGGACATCAAAGCTGCACACACATTACTACTACTACTACTACTACTACTACTACTACTACTACTATTACTACTACTATTACTACTACTAGTACTAAGACTTCAGGGCGGGCGAGTAAGAAAAGGACATGTAGAATTGACAACAGTTCTTCCCCCATCCGCACTCACCGCAAATGTCCAGCGCGGTGCCGGGGAGTCATTCGCCGCGTACTCCACGAGTACCAGATCCACCTCGGGTGGCAGGTGGTGGTGCAGGCAGCTGCTCATATAGGCGGACTGGGTGCCTAGGCGGGGGTTGAGGGACGGGGGGGAGGGAGGGGAGGGGAGGGGAGGGGAGGGGAGGGAGGGAGGAGGGAGGGAGGGGAGGGGAAGGACGAACCACGAACGAGTGAGGAGGGGAGGGGAGGGAGAGCGAGGAGGGAGGGGAGGGGAGGGGAGGGAGAAAGAGGAGGGAGAGGATTTCCTCAAATCTTAAATAAGCAACTATTGCAAATCAGCGAAAAAAAATACGATACGACTGTTACCCCCAGAGGGGGGAGGGAAGAGGGTAGGAAGGTTGTGGTGGGCATATTCGCAAAGACGGTCGCACCTGCACCTGCACCTGCACCTAAGGTCCTCCTCACGGCTCCGAAGTCACAAAGACCGCGAGCGCACTAAAGTAGGCGGGGGCACGGTCGCGGGCCATTAGGCCTGTTAAGTTCACTTCCACCACTTCCCAACAACCTAATCTGAACGCACCCCCTCGAGCACACTTCTTTCTGGTGCCATGGCCTGAGGCTAGGCAGCGGGGTAGTCAGAGCACCAAACCTCAACCCCCCCCATATCATGTCGCAGCCAGCCACACCTGGAACGGCGCCGTTTAAGAACTCGTGTTGAGGCGTCCGGGTTCGAGTCCTCATGTAATCGCTCTGACCTCCCTGCCCTCCATCCCCTGTTGCTACTGCCGCTGCTGCTGCTGTTGCTGTTGTTGCTACATCCGCCCCGCTGCCTTGGCTGTTGAGTGTGTCGTAGGATACGAGGACGCGGCGTCGGGGCCTATGTGTGTGGGGCGGTAGGGCGGCGTTGAGCCAGTCCATGAATGTCTTGACGTAGCTGCCTTGCGCGCCGCCCACGGCCTGGCCGAAAGTGATGCTGCCGCCCAGGGCTGCTACCATTAGCGCCTCCCCTGGAGAGGAGAACCAGCGGTGCGCGTCGGCAGTGGGGGTTGTGTGTGAGGCATATGGGGAGGGGCTGGGGAGAACGACGCGATGACGGGTCCGTGGATGGATGTGAGGTTCATTGGCATCTTGCTCCGGTCAGGGGTCATGGCGGCTGTGTAGGGCTGGGAAGGGGGAGCGCCCGATAACGATTAAGCAGAGCAGCAGTTTTGGGAATGTGGGTTGGAGAGTGGGTTATGGGTGCCCATTCTTCTGGGACAGGGGTTGCGCGAGGCTGCTTGGGTTTCAGATCATTGGTTTTGCATGGAAAAAGTTAACAGGCCAACGCAGCCGTGTCTTCGCAGACGCATCCCTGTAGATGTTACATATGTGCGAGGTGCACAGTTCGTTGTTGGTCCTCAATAGCAGATTCTGCTTTAAGGCTGTCCTGATGACTGAACGCGCGGATCCTGTACACTCGAAAACGCAATGGTGTACGGCACTAACCGTTGCGCGCGCGCTCAAGCACCAGGCGCAAGCGCGCTGCGTGTCCCACATAAGTCAATCCCGCCAAGCGCTCCGGGAGCGGCACGACGAAGCGGTAGCCATGTTTGCTTTGTGAGTCCCTGCTCATCTGGACACCGGGCAGGACTCGCTCGGCAGCGCTGTAGTTCCAGTAGATTTTGGCATATTTAATTTCGCTTTCAGTCAGATTGTCGAGACGTGGGCCGGTCGCACGCTGCCAACTGACCGATACAGGCAGTCCAGCTAATGCCGACAGCGCCAAGAGTAAGCTCCTAACGATCATTATCGCCTAGTTATCCATGGTTGTAATTATGATCCCCGTTTTGCATGCCAAGATGGAAGGGCTCGGGCATGACATTGTTCATGACGCAGTTACATCGTGTCCTGATGCTTTTCTTTTCCAAATGGGGGGACGTGTCGGACTTGGATCTCCTATAATCGTGTAATGCACGGACGTCAAACGCGTTCTTGACCTGCTGCTTCTGTGTCCATGACACAGCAAAGGTACTGCACTACCTCGTGCCTCCTTTTTGGCGCTTGGCGCCAGTTCCGCCTATGAACTTCAGGCCATCAGCGGCCCCATGCATTATTTGGAGTCGCATCACTGGAGACATGGGAATAGTCTATCCGTGGACCTTTCCACTCAAACGGAATTAGCTGTCTCTGTTGCCTACCATAACATAGCGCTGCATCTTGGGCTTGCTTTGAGCAGGTTATGACGCATGTTCCTAAAATCGCAGTGGTTAGGATTGAATTCATGCGGGCATGTGTACCGACTATGAAAACATAAAGAGTTATGATGAGAGGTTCCCCGATGGTGCATGACCCTGCCCAACAGTGCTTACTTACATGTTGCATCATGGCTTGCGTTCTCTCGCTGTTTCGGATCCGCGGGATCCATGGGGCGTACGTTCGGATTTCGCCAGGTGAGGCAGGGGTTCGAATCATGCATAAATGGCAGAGCTGAACGGATTTGCAGCCGGATTTAAGAAATTCGGATTTAAGAAATTAGCGTCTCAGAACCACAAATTCCACAAATTGTTTTCACGGAACACCTATAAAACCTATATGATACGCCTCCGTGCTGGCTCTCCCTCCCACATGCATTAAACCATACATAGTGTAACACACACGGACATATTTGTAGCTGCTGGTCGCGGAAAAGGCCTCTCAGGATGCTAGCTGGCAGACATAGCGCGCATATAATATATGGTTTGTATGCATGCCGTATTTACTGTACGACAGCTTCTTCATCCACAAAACATTGACATCTCACGTTTCCTCCTAGCCTCCCTTAGCTCGCTAGTCCTTTGTAATCTGATGCTGGTCAGCTCATCAAAACGCGCCTCTTGCTGTTATTCCCGCGATTTCTGCGGCTTGTCACTGCCCAGGGCCTGCATGCGGTTGAAAATGTCCGCTGTGTTGCCGCGCACGAAGGTGACGGTTCCCTTGGCGGCGCCCGGGTCCTCACCCACCTGTGGGACACACGTACAGGGAGACATACATACATACATACATACATACATACATACATACATACATACATACATACATACATACATACATACATACATACATACATACATACATACATGGAGGGGCTGCGGAGTGGCTGCGTAGAGTGTTGGCAGTCTGAGTCGGGGTCGGGAGCACACAAGACTAACCGACTTGTGCTGTGTGCTCCCGACCCTTGCGCTGTGTTTCGGCTTCGGCCCCCGGCTCTCGCGGCCCACAGTGTAATCTAAGTCATACATACATACATACATACATATATACATACATACATACATACATACATACATACATACATACATACATACATACATACATACATACATACATACATACATACATACATACATACATACATACATACATACATACATACATAGGGAATAGGGAATAGGGCAGGACAGAACGCAGGGGATATTATATATAGGGAAAAGATTAAACATAACTACAAGGCATGCTGCATACTACTGACGGCGTGCATCAATTTCATGTTTGTAGTGAGGCACGGCACGCGTGCGGCAAGTCAACCATGCGAGACACAGCAGCAGCCCAGCAGCACAAAGTATCTGCAGCCGCAGCAGCCGCAGCAGCACCGAGTAGACGGCGGGAAAGAAATCCCGGCAGCCCCCCATGTCACGGCTCACCACGAGGCCAATCAGCTTGAACTTGTAGCCTAGGAGGCCTTTGCTGCTGCCCTCCCAGCCGCTGCTGAGGCCCGTAACGCCCTCCGCCGCGCCGCTCTTCGCCGCCTGCACCGCCTTAGCGCTGGGTAGACCGGACTTGAGCTCCAAATGACACTCCGAGTGCTGCGTCACCTGCCGGTGTGTGCGTGTGTGCGTGTGCGTGTGTGCGTGTGCGTGTGTGTGTGTGTGTGTGTGTGAGAGAGAGAGAGAGAGAGAGAGAGAGAGAAAGATTGAGCGGGAAAGAGATGGTGAGGTGGTGAGGAGATGCAAGGTACATCAGCCACCAATCGGCTGCCGGGGGGGTGGGGGGTTGGTGGGCGCCAGGAAGCACGTGGCCGGGAGTGCCCATGCGCCGCAGCGGTCCCCCAGATGCCGGCAACTAGATAGGTATGTGGGTGTGTGTGTCTGTTTGTGCATATGTGCGTATATGTGTGGGTGTGGGTGTGTGTGTGCGCACCCCCACCCATTCACCCCCACACACAAACTCATCACCCACACACCTTGATGTCCACTGTGACAGCCAGGGACGCGGGACGAGCGTCGTACGCATCCAGGAGGATGGACGTGCAATTACAACCGGCCTCGCAGCTCAGGCGAGCAGTACCCATGCCGCGATAGCTCTGTAGGTAGGCGACCTGCGCTAGTGTTCAAGACATACTCGAGTCGCCATCATCATCGTCATCATCATCATCATCATCATCATCGTCATCATGACGAAGGCATATGTTCGAAGAACTCAAAACAACAACTTGCGGTGTCCTCTCTCGCTCTGACGCGGTAAGCTTTTTGCTTTTAACAACGCCAGGGCTGCAACACAAGGTAAATGGCAAACAAAGGCTGCGCCAAAGAGACACACTACCTGCCCTAAGGCAAGGAAGGCCATTTTCGGCAATCGAAAGACAGAAAAAACTCGATTGACGTTTTACTAGGGTACTAGAAACGGAAAAGCAAAAAAAGCCACCATGCACACCTCATGCAGCCCCCCTGATGCGGTGCTGCTGTGTTTTGGGGTTCGCGCTATTGGTCCGTGCAACACTGGAACTGGAACTGCAACTGGGCCATCGAACCAACTGGGTCGCCCACACCAACGGGCTGCGCCTACCCCCCCACCCCCCCGGGGTTGCCCCCGGGGGGGTAGAAACACACAGCAGGAGCACCACGACTCGACGGGACGCGAGGGCAATCTTGTTGGCCTGTGTCGCCTTGCCCACCTGTACAATGATGGGTTGCAGCTCCGCTCCCTCTCCGTCGCCGTCTATAGAGCTGCTGCTCCCCCCCATCCCTATTTGAGTGTTGACCTGGGTGTTTGTGTGTGTTTTTGTACGACAGGGCGGATCCTTGGAGTCAAGATATGCAGCTAATGGATCATACCGGGTAGACATGGCCGGGTGGGCACACGTCGGGCGCTAACAAAGCAGGCAGCAGACAGCAGGAGATATATGACGGAAAAAGTAAAGGAGCCACACAGGCCGGCATGTGTTTTTTTTGAAAAGGGATAAAGACAAAGTCAGGCCGGACAGGGAAGCAACTGGTTTTGGAGGGTATCAAACAGCAGGTTTTTCGTGAGAAGTCTCCGTTAAAAAGAAAGTACCTGCAAGCAATAAAACCAGTCTTCGTGATAATAGGTGTAGGGGGCCGGGTGTAGGGGGCCGGGTGTAGGGGGCCGGGTGTAGGGGGCCGGGTGTAGGGGGCCGGGTGTAGGGGGCCGGGTGTAGGGGGCCGGGTGTAGGGGGCCGGGTGTAGGGGGCCGGGTGTAGGGGGCCGGGTGTAGGGGGCCGGCGCACTACCCCAAAGTAAGCGACAGAGCTAGGCCCGCAGACCAACCTAGGCTTCAGGGCAGCGCACCCAAACGTAGCCTAGGCAAACCCGAGGTAACCAGCATAGTCACTCGCAGCGACACATAACCACTCCAGACCGTACATCGTACAGAGGCACTCTGAATTCACAGAACACCTTATAGTTTTCTATACGCTTCGCTTAGAAAACTATCAGAAAACGTCGCTTCGTTCCAACCTCATCCACATCCCTACCCAATCATACGCCCGCCCCATTCGGGCGTACCTTTAACTTTATGGTCTTCCCCGGCTCGGTGGCCACATAGCCCCACTTCCCACGACCTTCATCAGTCCAATTCCAGCCGACCACAGGTTGCTGCACCAGGGCCTGAGGGGGGAGGCAGGGGTCCCAGTGGAAAGAGGGAGGGAGGGAGGGAGGGAGGGAGGGGAGGAAGTAGCCACCAGCGCGGGGGGCAGGGAGGTTCCGCAAACAGAGTCCTCAGCTCAAGAAGAAATCACAGACCTGTTACAACAGACTAAGGGCCGATTGCCATACTTTGTAAGCACCAATTAAGCGAGGAAGCAATGAAGCGAGGGAGCACTAGGGGTAGGGGCAGCAGATCGGGAAAGGAAGTGGAGGGCACCCTATCACCTTAGCCTCACTTGCAGCTGGTCCTGGATGTAGCACGTCTCCACGGTCGCCCCATGATTGCCAGGGAAGAGGGGTGGGGGCAGCGGTCTTGCCGCCACCAAAGCCACCTCCTCCAGCGCCATGGGGGCGGCGATAGGAACAGTACTGACGGCATCTGCTCTCAGCGCCCTACTCGCGACGTCCGAACCTGACGCGCCGGTCTCGGTGGTGGTGGTGGCGTCGTCGGCAGCAGCAGCAGCAGCAGCAGCAGCAGCCATGCTGACACTGTTCAGGTAGAGGAGGTCCTGCGCTTGCGGAAGGAGGGCCGACGGGGCTGATTGCCATGTCATGTCATGTTCAATACAGCAGTAGTAAGTAACAATGAGCAATCACACAGCTTTGATTGTGTGACTCTGAAGATCTCTGATGGCATCACCTCCCCCACCCCACCTGCCTCGGAGGGGTTACCCTAGCTAGCGGTTGAAGGTCGCGCGAACGGGTATGTTCATATATACACACACATATATATGTATATATATATATGTGTGTGTGTTTGCGTATACATGAGTAATACCAGTGTTAGGGAGTTTTACACCTCCCACAAGCCCCGAGCCCGCTCGCATGACAACCCCGAGGACATCCTAGATAGAGCTTTCCGTTCTGCATCCATTCTGCATCCACCCACTCATCCATGCATGCAGCAGGCTGATGTGCGGCACGGTACAACAATAAAGCAGTTCGAAGAGAAAATGACGGTTATAATGGCTACCACCCTCCATAAACCAACTACCAACTAATTAACAGCTTTCTCGTTGAGTAAGTAACTGTTCACGTCTCAAAGACCACTCCTTCCTGTTGACGTAACGTGCCTGCCTTCATCACTTCCAGAGCTCTCATCGCCAGCTACGCATACATACACCGGTGAAAAAGCACCCAATAAAAAGCACACGACAGGAAAACAAGCTCACCAGGCAAAGCGTTATAAGAAGCTCCGTAACCACCACGTGGCCGCCACGACCCGGGTGCATCGCACCGCCGTTGAATATGGCGCCCGGCGACACCTCCTCCGCGCCGCCCGCGGTCGCGGAAGGGAACACCGCGGCCCGCAAGCTTACCTGCGAGGCCAACCCCAACCCAACCCAACCCAACCCAACCCAATCGCACACCCACATGGGTGTTGCAGCCCAGCCAGTGGTAAGGCGCGCAGCACAAATTGGGGCACAGCAGGTAGATAGATAGAGCATAGAAGCAGAGGTAGAGGTAGAGGTGTAGTAAGTAGTAACGGTGTTGCAATGCCCGGGCTACAAGGCATGAGGCACGAACAACGACATGCATCAGAACAGAACAACGTGAAATGATTCGAACCAAGGAGCGACATCGAACAGCAAAACGTAAAAACACGCACAAGGGTACTAAGTACTGCACGATTGCATGTGCCGCTGTAAAAAAGTAGATACTAATCGCGGGCAAGCCGTCAAGCACGTCAAGCTCGCCGGGCGCCACATGGCCAGCGGGGGGAGAGCAAGTGGGACGAGGACACTCCTGCCGGTCGGGCGTCACATAGCGGGGTGGGGATGGCAAACAAGCCGCGGAGGGGAGCCAGAGGGGAGCCAGAGGTGACAGCAGCAGAAAGATGATGGGCGGCGTGTCAGCGCACTCGGGCCCCCAGCCACTCACTCACCGAGGGCAGGCCGTAGTAAGCGGTGAACTCCATGAACTCCCGCTCCGCCGTCTGCCAATAACTACGCCGTGGGGAAGCGAGAGAGGTGGCGGCGCGAAGGGGTGTAGCGGCATGGGGATGGCGATGGACGCAGCCAGGCGGGCAAGGGGGCGCCAGAGCAGAGGCTGAGCAACCGCCTTGCTGGCGTTCATAGGACACGCATACCCTGGTACGAACCGTCGTACCCATGTACGACCCTCGACGGCCCAACTAGACTTCGTCACGCGAGGCCACGTAAGTGAACGGCTGCTGCACTATTGCGAGGTCTGCGGAGCCGCTGTTGCAGCAACAGCAGCAACAGCAGCGGCGGCGGCGGCGGCGGCGCCTGCTCCGTACCCCACCCAACCCGCCGTGCATGCTGGGGGACCTTTGGAGCGCTTGGGCTGTTTAAACGTAAACCTGAAGAAATTATATAATATTATATGTAATATATTTTATATATTTTATATATTTTATATATGGCCCTGAGCACACTACACATTCACACTCGCACATTGATTCGCCCATTCACCTTCCCATTTGGTTTCTTCGCGACTCGCTTGCTAACAATAACTCTCTTCCGTACAGCTCCAGTCCTCACGACAAAAATACGCCCACTACATCAACATGTTTAAAATGTGACTCACATGCCGTTAGAGGGCCCCATGGCGAACATGTTGACCAGCACCACAGCCGGGTTGGACGGCAGGTTGAGCACCTTGCGAAGCAGGCGCTCCAGCGGCCGGCGTGGGGAGTCCTGCGCGCGAACCGGCAGTAATCACCCAGCTCTATAACAACTAGTGCTCTATGACATGCTTCATATGACATCATACAAAAGCGACAGGAGCGACAGCGTGTGAATAAAGTGCGCTCTCGCTTCGCATCATAACATATGAAGCAAGAGCGCACTTCATTCACATACTTGTGGACGCCTGAAGGGGCCGGCTGCAGCGTTTCGCATGCAGGACGGCAATGTACGACGCCGTACGAGAGCTCATTTTCGCTGGCGGACAACAACAGCCACCCTTGTAGCTTTGCACAAATAAGAGGTTCATTATTGGTAATCGAAATAGCAGTGTCTGCAGGGCTGCGGAAGGGCGTACGGCGGTGGGTGTGTACGGCGGCGCGCGCACGTTATTGTTGTTATCGTTGTTTTTACCTCTTCTCCCCAGCTGCTGAGGTGCGAGTCGTTGACCGTGAATTCCACAAACACCAAATCCGGATTTGGAATAAGGTGGATCTTGAGACAGCTGCTGGTGTAGCCCGACATGGTGCCTGTACGGTATATGGCGTACGGCGTAATGTGGCGGCTCAGGCAGTAACCCTATTGGGGTACTGGCGGTGTGCGTCAATGATAACGACCTGCACCGGCTGACTACCTGCTGCTTTAACAGATGATTGTGTTGAAATCAGATGCTGTGATGTGAGCGGGTAACAACTAACAACTCGTGCTCAGCTAATGTACACTTCTTCCGCGTTTTTTTTTGAGGTCCACAATCTTTGCGAACTAAAATTATGTTTCCTTTTCATCCTTAGTTATATTTTCCTTTAGTATAATTCTCCTTTGAAACGCTAACAGCGGCCCCGTAGACGGTTTGGCTTCACCTAATCAGTGAATGTTTTCATTCACACTGGTACATAGCTGTTTCCAAGGAGATCGCGCCGTACATGTGTCGGTTGACTGTAGGTAAGGTGTACGGCAATAGCAACAGGGCTCGATTCAATGTTTGATTCGCCTGACAAAGTTGGTTGTCATGCGCATGGTCACGCGTGATTTGATGTGTATCGGCGTATGCTGCCGTACTACTCCATGCTGCCGTACTATCCGCGTTGCCGTACCTGGCACTGCACCGTTCAGGAAGCTGTGCTCAGCACTCAACAGGTTGCGTTGTCGTTGCGGCCACATGAGCATGTGGCGGGGACCATCGCCGCGCAGGCCGCGGCGGATACGGCCAACACGGTCATTGCGGCCACCGCCAATAACAGATTCACCCTTGGCAGCTCCCCCAGCCTTGTCGACCCAGCCGTGAAGTACCCGCCGTCTGGGCCCTGGGGGCGGCCGCGACAGGGAAGGCCAAATGCCGGCCACGGATCAGGGACCCCGGCAGCCGGGAACATGAAAAAGTGAAGGGGAGCGTGCGCAATGCGTCGATGAAGCACAAGGGTATCCAGCATGCATGCATGACTGCTCGTCACACGTGTTGCATGGCCATGTGAACCACGGGTCGGTTCATTAGGGAAACAGGCCGGCTGCGCAAGGGGGGCGCGCTCCACGAGGAGGGGGGAGGCCCCCTTCAGACATCGCAGGTCAAGGGGTGGCGGTGTAACCTCCCCAGTGTGTTCGCTGGTCGAGTCCCACCTGGATCCACAGCTCCCGTTTCGCCTGCTGACGCTGTGTCGCCGCCTGCTTCCGAAGAGCTTTGATGCGGCGGCATTGCGGCGTTAAGCCAGTCCATGAAGTATTGCAGGTAAGTGTAGTTGCCACCACCGACGCCGTGGCCTGTGGTGATGCTGCCGCCCAGGGCACCGATACGGAGCGCCTCCCCTGCCATTGCAGGCACGCACATGGCGGAACTTAGAACGGCGAAGCATGAAGGCCGTGGGCAGGGACCCGGCCAAAGGCCTTTCCAGGTTGCCAAAGGATTCGTTGTTGCAAAGAACCTGGGCCGGGCTTGCTTTCTACGGCAAGCGATGCAATCATGTGGTTTTAGCGCCATAACGGGCGACTGTAGAGCCCAGGTGGGATAACGGGATTGATGATGCTGGTTCATGCGATATATTCAATTGACCAGGGACATGAGGCTATTTCCACGATACATCCACCCGTAAGACGGACCATTTCGTGCCCGCTCCAGCGCCAGCCGTAAACGCGCTGCGTGCCCAACATAAGTGATGCCAGCCAAACGCTCAGCTGACGGTACTAAAAATCGGTAGCCAAGATTTGTAAGACGGGACCCGACAGGCTGACCGACATCGCGAGTTATCCGCTCCGTCGGCTTGTACTTCCAATATATGTGAGCATACTTAATCTCTGTCTCGGTTAGGTTTGTGAGTTGTGGTCCCTTATGATCCGCAGAGGAGAGCCCTGCCAAAAATAACAGCTGCAACAGACATGCAATCTGGCCTAACATGGCTACATTGAAACGGTATAGATCAAAGCGTATAAAGAATCAAATAGCAGATTATATGGAAGAACTTGTCGAGATAGCCACTGAAAGCTAATCATGCTCGTCCAGACCGTTGCCTGGTGCACCGGTCGGCACTCTATTAACCACCAAGGGTCAAATGGTCAGCTGATCACCCTCAGGCTACTCAAAGCGCTATATGGCCACATGCTACGTGTGAAAAATCTTAAGGGGGCATTCGGCTGTGCACAATTCAAAACCTTTCTAACGTCAACCATGCGAGTGCGTGGCGCTGCGACGCTGGCACAGCCTAGCTTACCAGGCCCTCAACCGTTCAGGAGGCACCAGAAAATCCCCAATCCCGCAAGTTTCTATGAAACAAACGTCCACCTGTTGTGCCCTTGGCTATCCCGGTAAGCACCACGGATATGAGGATGTCAAGGGCACAACAGCTAAGGGCACTGCGTCCTGTCTTCTTCATCTGAGGGTGGGTGTACGGGTTGGTTCCCCCCTTGGTGCCGGGGCGGCTCCCGATCAACAATTACTGCTTCGCCTCCCCCCTTCCCCCCCTTTCCATCCCTCCCTCGGACCGGCGCTGTTCATGGTTCATGTGCGACTTCTGTAAGCGTCCTCTTAGAAGCCATTCCATCAATCCAAGGGCAATGCTAGAGCCATGCTAGGGCAATGCTAGGGCAGTGCCACAGGCTAGGGGCTTCTGGCAATCAGACGAGGCCGGGTCAGACGAAATGCCCCGGCTCGCAGGCTTCCGGCTGCTAAAGCGGTAAGGATCCAAATTACTCGAGTGCCTCTCAAGTGCTCGTTTGTAAATAACGGGAACATTCCTGTCTCTGATCTACATACATATATATATATTTATATATACTTATATATACATACATGCATACATGCATACATACATGCATACGCACATACATGCACAGGGAGGAAGCTTCGTGATGTACGATACAACGACAAGACACCCACACCGGCCCCACAGACCTCGCTCACGCACAGCAGCCATGGAACCGTCAGATAACTACCGCAGCACATCACACCTCTCGAGGCGAGGAAAAAATATTGATTTGTATGCCCCACGTTCTAACCCACCCCCATTATTTTGATGACGAGGCCGCCTAATAATGACGAGATCAAGCCTAGCAGCCTAGTACGACATCTAACCAGAACCAAGTACCCTTCCGGACAATAAAACTAACTAACAACTCCAACGAACTCAGTCGTCGGCATTTGACGGTCCGAATCTGTCAAATGAACAGCGAATCCCACAGAGGAAAAAGACACCGAAAAATACGCTCCGAACCCCCCCTGCCTAGAATATAGAGTTATTACCAAGGAGCTCTCCACTTTGTCGTACATGCTGTCGTATATACGCGATCATGGTGCGGCTGCTGCTGTGGCAAAGGCCACTCTCCCACACGCACAGAGTTATCCGACGTCCCTTCCTACCCTCCAAGAGCCGTAATGGCGGCCATATGCCAGCTACCACGTCCCCTACTACACCACTACAAATTCAGCTCATCTCCTCATCATCTTCTGTGCACACCGTACTGTACCTCTTCCCGGGATGCGAAGCATATCCTTGTCGGTGTACATATACACGCTACTACCACACACGCGCACACACGCCATGCTCAACGACGCTTGATGACACGCCGTGCACAGGAATTCACGTTTGTCGCGCCTTCAGGTTTGTCTGTCGCGCCCTAATAACAATATACCCCTCGGCATGTTTCCATAACCGTCAGCAGCAGCAGCACCACCACCACCACTATACTGGATGGAAGCTTGTCATGTCATGTCATCTCATGTCATGTATATTCGCAAGTTCTTTCTCCCACTATTTCAAGTCCATTAGGATGGAGGCACACCTGGTTCCGCCAGTTCTTAGAACCAGTGCACCTCCCGCGAGGGGTCCAAAGGACCTAGGGGCCAAGAACAAGAGTACCGTGCCACCCTTCAATCAAAAAGCATGACGAGGTAGCGAAACCGGGAGCGGAAAAAAACCAATGGCCGTCCGGGACGTGGCCCGGCAACTAACTCTCAGTTAATGTTGGGACATGGGTCATCATCATCGCGGATCCAGCTCTACCACGTACCCGAAACCGGCCGCCAAGTGGCCGCACGAAAAATCGAAATGGTTGCCCAAGGTGAGGACCGTTGAGGAGAGGAGGGCAGCCTACCGAGATTGTCGAGATCCTCGACACAAATCGACAGCATGCTGCTTGGGGGGAGGCGACGCAACCACCACTGGCACACACAGCACAGCACAGCGCCCCGCACAGCACAGCGCAGCGCAGAGGCAGCTAGGAGCTGCCGCTGCCCCGGGTGGCAAATCAGAACCTGGTGAGGGACGGGGCATGCGTGTCAAAACGGCAACAGGGTCCCCGCAGACGTGCAACACAAGAGGGACAACGGAGCCCAGACGAATATGCCAGCAAGCTGGAGGAAGGACAGACAGACAGACGTACTGGCACTACACTGGACAACACAGAACGACTCTCGACGCTCATCAGGCTCTCATCAAATCGCGACCCACATCCTCCGAAGCGCACACCCACACACAGTGTCGTCAGTCAACAACCTCTCAATCGCAACAATCCCAACAATTCCAGCAATCGCAATCGTGTCGCCCAAAATCAGTGGCCGAAATCACGTTCTTATCTCTACACAATCGTATCGCCGCAACCAGTCACTCCCCTATGAGGCGGACGGGGTTCCCAACGGGTTGGCAATTGGCAAAAGAACAGCATGTGAACCACCCTTTGGGGGGTTGGTTCACAGCCTGGGTTGTTTCGCTTTCCGCTAACCACCTCTCAACACGGCGGCGCTTTGACAACCTGCACTTCCCCCCCATCGGTTCAGTATCAGACGGGATATCGCAATATTGGACACCATAATCTGTTCAGACCACAGAACAGTGATAACAGCGAGAGCGCGCGGCACACCCACCAATATCAAGGGCCCCCATCCACTCACCCACCGACAACCCAAATGCCGCGCGGCTCCTCCTCTCAAACCAATTGGCAACGCCCATGCACCTTCCCGCACTGTTAAGTCCAGATGCACAAGCTACGGTGCCGTTGTGTTGTTGTTTAATGGACAGCGCTATTGTCGTGCTTGTCGCTAGTCGTTGTTGCTTAATCAAGAGCTCCGAACTGTACGCCGCGAAGTCAAGTAATATCAACGCAAGCATCATCCTGAGCAACGCCAAAGCTAAAGTGCGTTATACAAAAAATCCTTTTGGATCGCGCGGGCGTCGAGTATTGTTGGACCAGTCTCATTTGTCGGCTGGGCGTCCGCGTACGTTCGCAAATCCTCCTCTTCCGCTAGATAGCAGTACCAGCAGATCAGCGTTTAATATAATGTAAAGGTGTACACATATACAGAAACAGGCTTTCTGAGCAAACGCCGAAAACCGGACCTCGCATCACCACGGAGATTGTGAGGAAAACGCCCCAAGAGGGTGCGCGATTTATATCTTAATTCACTTTTTTCTACTAGCTCTCCCGCCCGCGCGAAAAGATGAAGATGACACAATCAAGAGAGTGTCAGCAGCAAGCGCGCTTTCTTGCACGTCGAGGACATCACAGGGCGAGGCTTTTTTGCAAAATAATGCAGGGACGATGGGCAACCGAGGATGATCGCAACCTCGGGCGAAAACTTACGGCGCGACCGCAACCGCAGCAAAGAGGGAGGATCCAACCATGACAAGATGGGCAAATAGCATGCATCAGCAGCACCTTGCTGCGCTCTCACGTGTCTCGAGTCCTTGAGGTCGCCGTGAGGTGAGAATCAGCAGCCTTTCCCACCGCGGCATCTTGAGTGTCCGCCTGCTGCTGCCGCTGCCATAAACGTTGCTGCTACAGGTGCCGTTTGCTGCCGTTGACCCTGCTGCTGCCCTTGCTGCTCCTGCTGCCGCTGTTGTTACCGCCTTCATCGTGCGAGCATGTATTTCTTCACTTTGCCCCCATGCATCTTCTTCTTCAGGTCTATACTCACCATACGCACGTGGTCGAAATTGCCTGAGGTAGCACCTGGCTCCTCACCCACCTGCCACAGACAGACAGACAGACAGAAAGACGGATAAACATACAGTCAGGCGGACATGTATCAGCTCTCTTGGCATTGACAGATAGACAGGCAGAAAGACAAGTACCGGCATAAATACATGATATTTATACAGTCCATGGCATGTGGAGAGTTAGGGAGGTATTGGATTGTTTCCTAAAGTTAAAAGAACAACCGCAAACGTCCAACACTGCACCAGCTGCCGGAGGGCAAGGGAACGGCGGCAGCAGGAAGGGCTGGCGGAAGAGATGAGGGGGCCCTGAACGGCGCATGTTGCTTTTCCACGTAGGGCCATGAAACTGAAAAACATCAGGCAGGTAATAGCAGCTACACGCAGCTCCACACAGCTACAAGGCGTCCCGTGGGCAGCAGGCTGAGCGATGACGATACGGGGTGCTGGGACATGCCAACCAACATCCCATAGCACCGTACACACGGACCCAATCACACAGCAAAGAAAGGGTAAGGTACCCACCACGACACCCATCAGCTTGAATTTGTAGCCGTTAGTAACGGTTTTGGAGCTCTTTCCTGCCGCTGCGCTGCTTGGTCCCATAGACGTGATGGCCAGGATGCACTTGCTGGACTGTGAGACCTGTATTTGCGAGTGGTTGTGATGTCGTACGGTACGGCATGCACGTTACGCTACGTTGGCGACGTGGCGGCGCTGCGCTTTATATACTCTCTCTACTCTCTACTCTCTCTCTCTCTCTCTCTCTCTCTCTCTATATATATATATATATATATATATATACCTTTCTCTTTTCATCCGGGCATTATGTTAGCACCGAAACATCAATGGGCTATCGGATGGATGGACGGGGAACAGATGTCAGACGTCAAGACCACCCCACTCCGGAACATGCATGGCAAGGAAGTGGCCACACAGCAGAAAAAGAAAGAGAGAGAGAGAGAGGAGCAGCCCCTTCTTGTTCAAGAGTCCAGAACACATAGGCAATTCTACATGCACCACCCAACATAGGGCCTATAAGACCTATCAACTCCCACAACTACCCCCCTCCACGAGTCTGCCAGGTCGCATGCATTCAGGCCTATTCTTTTGGCGCCAGTTGCTCATCTTCCTTTCCTTTCATTTCCGATCATATAATATTATATATTATATGAGTATAACACACACACATGTCGCAAACATGTCGCAAACATGTTACATATCAATTCTACATCTCCCACCGAATGCCCTTTTCACCCGGCCTACCGCCCAAATGCTGTTGTATCCACCGCGACCCTGAGAGGCTTGCATCACCCCCCAGCCTGCCCTCTTCCCCAGGCCTACCTGAATGTCCGCCATGCTTGTCACAGACACAGGGCGGCGGTCGAACGCGTCGATGATCAGGGGTTCACACGAGCAGCCCGACGTACACGACACCTGAGCGGTGCCCATGCCGCGATAGCTCTTCAGGTAAGCCACCTGTAACAAGGCACCGCTCCAGCAAAAAGGAACACCGGGCGGGAGTGCAAATGGGGGAAAGGGTGTGTGTGTGTGGTGGGGGGGGAAAGCAGGGTTTAACCAAAGGTCAAGAACCCGGGGGGCAGGACCGGTTCCGGAGCCGGTTCCAGTTCCAGAGCCGGGATCTGCGGTATGACTTTTTTGGCACACCGAACACCATACTCTGTACGACGTGAATGCTATTAGCCTACTCAAGCAAGCTCTACACATGTGTGGTGTGGGTACGTGTTCGTGGAAGTAGGGTTATAACGGTATTGGGCCCAGCATGACAGCGGGGGACTGGTTCCGGAGCTGGAAGGTCGAAATCGCCCTCCATCGCCTGGGAAGATGGTGGCGGGTGAGTCGGATATACCGCATTCAGCAGACATACATACACAGGTTTACACACGCACCTGCAAAAGGATGAGCGCGGAGGAGTCCGTTGCACTCCTCTTGCCCTCCAACCGCGTGTTGATCTGAGGGGAATCGGAATCAATCAACAGGGAACAATTAAAAACACCTCCCTTTCCGAGAGGGGTTCGGGGAAAAGAGAACAACCGATGACCTGAGGCGGGGCTCCAGGGAGGTAGGCATTAAGGAAAAGGGAACAGGAAAATAACCTAACAAACCTATGGTAAGAAGTTGGCGAGGAGAAGGCGACCCGGCGAGGAAACAAGACAAAAGAAAACGAAACGAACGGGGGTGGTGTTAGTTGTTTGTTAGTTGGTGGTTGGTTAGTCGGTTAGCTGGTTGTGGAGGTGAAATTATTTCATGAAAGACTGAGGTCACGGGCGGTTCTGGCGCTTCAGTGCAATGGCGAGAAAGAGTTCATAGTTCGTAGCGGATTATTTCAATCCTTCAACATATTCCTTCAAGTGCAGTGTCACCCGTGCTGGGCCACCTCGTCAAACGCCCCACGCAAAAGCCCTAAGCTCCCCTTTACCCCAAACCCCTTCTCCCCTCCCCCCGCTTCCTCCAGGAGGCAGGGGCGCACCTTGAGCTGCAGCTCATCGCCCTTCTTTAACGACACGAAGCCCCACTTGCCGCGTCCCTCATCCGTCCAGTTCCAGCCCACCACTGGCTGCTGCACCAGCCGCTGCGCACCCACCATCGTGCAGAGGAAACGAGGGACACATAACGATGGTCAAACGGTGGTGGTGGTAGTGGTGGTGATGATGGTACCAGTTTGCTGGTCAAACCACATCATATGATGGTGATGGTGGTGGTGGTAGTAGTGATCGTGGTGAACAACGGCGGATAGGCGGCCAGGATGGTGGGACCTAAGGATTGAAAACTTCTCCACCTCATGGCGCAGGCTGAATCCGGATCAGGATCCAGATCCAGATCCGGATTCAGCTCCCGGTGAGGGCAGTGGTGGTGGCGGTGGTAGCGATGGTGGGAGGAAGAGAAGGGAGGGCAGGGTAAAAGGGATTCAACCAAAAGCCCTGCCGGCCAGACGTGGGGCCCCCCGAGGGCCGGATGAACAGAGCACACGTAGGCACCACCTCCTCGACAGACAAGCCCGCCAGAAGCTCCGAAGAACAAAACCTTTTGCGAGACACAAGCATGCAAGCCCCAAGGAAAGATGACAGAACAGACAGGGTTCGAGGTGGAAGGTGCCGCTGCGCGCTGTGCGCTGTGCCCCCCCCACACCTGCAGCTGGTCCTCGATGTAGCACGTGTCGATGGAGGACTCGTAGTTGCCCTCGCACACGGGGGGCGGCAGGGGCCGGGCGGCCACCGACTTCAGCTCGCTGATGGACAGCTCCTCGGGGCTGGTACCAATCAGGCTGTTGCGCCGCAACATCTCCTGAGGCAAGGGCGGGGCCCAGGGGGGAGGCAGGATGAGAGGGAGGCATGGACGGTTCTGAGGTCGTGGTTGGATGGAGTGAGAGGAACAATAAGAAACACGAGCTGCCGAGTTCCCCGTCCCCCATACCTCACCCCGCAAAGGACCACCACCCTACGCCCCAACCAGCACCTGCCCAGCTGAGCTGAACTCCTCTCACCAAGAATAACGTAATGAGCATCTCCGTAACCACCACGTGGCCGCCACGGCCCGGGTGCATCGCACCGCCGTTGAATATGGCGCCCGGCGACACCTCCTCCGCGCCCTTCACCAGGCCGGATGGCAGCACCGCAGCTTTGAGGCTCACCTGCGGATGCCGTACGGGTGAGTGGATGGATGGGTAGGTGGATACATGGGTAGGTGGATGGGTAGGTGGATAAACACACACACACACCCACACCCACAGACACATACAAACCATCTCCACCATCCTCACCAACACCACATCCCATTATTGCCAGTAGTTGTATCACGACTTTCGAGAAACTACCGATCGGCGGATGCCAGAATTCCGTGATGATACGCCCTCATATTGGGACACAGCTACAGTGGCCACTGCCATGCAACATTGTGACTCACTCGTTCTCACACACTCTCACCGAGGGCAGGCTGTAGTAGGGCGCCAGCTCCCCAAAATCTCGCTCTGCCGTGTGGTGGTATCTGGGGGGGGGGAAGGGGGAGGAGGGCCGGGTGGGGAGAGCAAGTGATGAAGGGGGCAAGACGCGGCAATAGTGGCCTCGCGGCGGTTGGCGAGTGGTTGGGAGTGGTTGGAGCTGGGTTGTCCAGGGAGTTAGTGTTGGAATGGAGTGGAGTGGGGTTGTCCAGGGGATTGTCCAGGGGGTGAGGAAACCCGACCCAGCTCAAGGAGACCAGGCTAGCGGCCCCGGAGGGGGGGGATGGCGAGCCGGGTGGTAAGGGCCGGCTGCCCTACGGTGGGGGCCACCCAGGGCGTCGAAGAGCCGCCCTTCGCAACTGCACAGTTTCCTCCTCCTCCCCCCCTACACACAACACCCACACCCACACACAGACACACACACAGACACCCGCACATTGGGGGAAAAAGGGCAGCAGGGCATCACTTGTAGGAGCCGAGGGTCACAACAGCGGCAGATCCAGCGGGTTTCTCCCGCTCCCGCTTTCCCTCCCTCCTGCTCTCCCATAACTCCACAAGGGGTGCCGCACGGCATGCATTTGCTGTTTTAGTATCTGAGCTCTGCTTTGCCTCGTGCCTCAGGACTGCAGGCGGACCGCGGCTTTTCCTCCCGCCTAGAGAGGCGGCAGCCGCGGTCCCTAAGCACCCAACCCAACCCCAACTGCCTGTCCGACCAACCACCCCCGGACGTTGGGCAGGGGCATGGTGGCGCACCCGCCATGTGACCCAGAGGAAGGAAGACCCACCGCACCCCGGGCCACTTCGCCCCGCCGCCTGACACCTCTGTCCGCAACCCAGCTTGTCGGCCTGCTGGGGACCCCGTCCTCAATTTTCCCCCTGTCAACGCATGTATTTATGTATGTATGTATTTATGTATGTATGTATGTATTTATATACGTACGTGTTGGAAGCCGGTGCGACGGCGTACATGTTGACCAGCACCACCGCCGGCTTGCTTGGCAGCCGCAGCAGCTTGCGCAGCAATCGCTCAAACGGCCGACGAGCAATGGCACCCTGTATGTGTGCGCGTTGTGATGGGAGCACATCGCGGGCGGGTGTGAGAATGTGTGTGTGTGTGTGTGTGTGTATTTAAGGGAACTGCGCCGCGAGCTGAAGATATGGGAGACGTCACATTTGGAACATACAGTCATACAATCGTACAAATGTATGTACGTCATCCCTGATGTCTTACAGCATTCTCACCCGCCCCCTTGCCAACCCTGACCACCAAGTCTACGATTTGCCCCCCATCTTCCCGGCTGTCTGTCTGTCCGCATGTCTGTCTGTCTGTCCGCCTTGCAAAGTACCGAAAGACAACAACGACATGGCTAGCGACATGACCAGCGACGGCGGTGGCTAAGAAGCAAAGGTGCTGGGATCAGAAGCGAAAGACGGAGCTGAGACAGCTAAACAGAAGGAAGCAGCAGCAGCAGCCGCCGTGGGGGGGGATGAGGGGGAAATCACATGCAAGGAAGGGAGGGGCCTTACGTCAAGGGTCCACGTAGAGATGGGCGAATCGTTGATCGCAAACTCCACAAACACCAAATCGGCTTCGGGTATTAAATGGTTGAAGAGGCAGCTGCTCGTGTAATCTGATACGGTTCCTGCGGTAAGCGGTGTGACGACAACGACATGGCCGAGTGTGTAAGGGACCGCCCGCGGTTTGAAGGAAATAGCACTGGATGACAATGGTGATGATGAGAGGAACAAGCAGTAGCAGCCCCAGCAGCCGCACTAGCAGCCGCACTAGCAGCAGCAGCAGCAGCAGCAGCTCGGGAACGACATTTTGAGGAGGAGGAGGAGGAGGAGGAGGGGAAAGAGGCGGAGGAGAAGGCACCTGGCAAGTAACAAGGTGAAGAAGAACCCCGCCCCCATCTGCTGCTTGATTCCCCCCCCCGTTAGAAGGGGGTTACAACGGAGCCGGCGCCAACACAGCTCAACAGTCAACGGGCCAGGCCCACATCTCAGACATCCCACACCCAGACCCAGACCACGTCCTGACGGACAAAGGACTCGAAAGTAACGTAAAACTCCCACCCAGCAACCGCCCCAGCAAAACACCGGCTAGGATAGCAACATGTCAGGGACCAGGGCACCTGCTGCAGCTTTTCCTTCTACCTCCTTCACGTCCCGGGGCCCAGCCCCCCCCTGGAGCAAGCGGCTGCCCGCCCTCCAGACGATAGTAAAGAAAGGGCTTATATACTGAGCTCGGCCAAGACGTACAAGCGTACGGCATACATGCAAAAAAAAATCAGAATCACTGGCCAGCCAGGTGTTGTTTTGCAGCTAGGAGGCGAGCTGCGCCTCCCATGGCTCTCGCCATTCGCCGTCACAGCTAGTCGGGCGGGAATAGGATAGTTCCT